CACTAAAATACCGATTTTTGTGATTTATGCAAATTTGCATGGGCCGTATGAATGTTCCGGTCCGCTTCACTATTGCTTGATCTTTCAGTTTGGTTTTGCGTTTGGTGGATTTGATACGGGCAATTCGTTTTTCCAAAAACACCGTATTTCGATGCGATTGTTCTTGCACAGCCTACTGGAGCGTAGTCACACCCAGCCTTTCATCATTTTTGCGTATTCCGGCTATTGCCAGCTTTGTTTTCGACTGGAACCTATCTGGCGAAATGTTGTAGAAGATCTCGAACCGCTTGGTATTTCTTTCTCTCATTTGTTATCATAAAAAAACATTGGTTTTTGTTCATGTGTGTGCATATGTATGTGCGCGTGTGTATGTAGGCACGTGTGGGTGGGTGTATGTATGGGTGGGTGTGTATGTGTGTGTGGGTTATATGTATGTGGGGTATACATGTGTGTGTGTTTGTGGGTGCGTGTGTGGGAGCGTATGTGCGCGTGGGTGTCTGTGTGCGTGCATGTGTGTGGGCATATGTTATGCGTTTATGTGGGTGCATGTGTGTGTGGTTGAAAGTGTGTGGGTGTGTTTGTGCGGGTGCATGTGTGTGGGTATATTTGCGTGGGGGTGTGGGTCGTGTGTGTGTGTGTGTGCAGGTGCACATTCGCGTGGGTGTGTGTGTGGGTGTATGCATGTGTAGGTGTATGTATGTGCATGTGCTTGTGGATGTATGTGTATGGGTGTATTTGCGTGTAGGGATGTATGTGTGTATGCGTGTTTGTGGGTGTATACATTTGCGGGTTTATGTGTTTGTGGATGTGTATGTATATGTGTGGGCGTATGTACGGATGGGTGTACGTGTGTAAGGGTGTATGTACGTTTGTGGGTGTGAATGTATGTGCATGTGTGTAGGTGTAATTGCTATTTTTGAATGGTTTATGATTTCGCTAGCAAGTGTTTTCGAAATTTTTAAGATGCAAACTATGAAGGTTTGTTTGGCACTACAGGCCCGTCGATGAGAGGGACACAGTCGAATATTGACAATTGTGAGAAAGCAGGAAATGCCATTTTAGATACCCAGACAAGCGAGCCTGTATGTGCATTAGCTGTTGTTCTGTCTGTGTTTCATCCCCGAACTGTAAACACAGATGGCAGAGCCGGTGCGGAATGGGTTGGGAATCATCAGTACAGTGCCCCATTCCGCCTTGTTTAAACGAATATGTGATTTTCCGGAGAAAGATGAAGGTGGAAAGGAAGGAATTAGAGGTAACAGGACAGAAAATAACTACTGCAGAGGTAGAAGTAAAAGTAAAACTATCCATACTATTGCAGTTAAAACTTAAGGCCTATTGATTATCAACAAAAAAAAAAAAACAAAAACCTTTACGGTTTTTCGATTTGTAGGCTATGGTATTGGTACAGTAAATGCAATGACTGATGGAAATTTGTTGGAAAAGCTACGTATTTCACGATTACCATCCGTTGTGGTGGTTGTCGAAGGACGGGTGATTCATTATCGAGGCACCATGCAACGTGAGAATTTTTTCAAGATTTTAATAAATTATTGTCTCGAGGTTCATGGAAATAAGGATCGCCAGCAAGCTGACCACCGGATAATTCAGTGGGAAAAATGAATAAGCTGTTTTTTCCAAGTATGCCAGCTGGCATAGTTCCAGAATAAAGCTGGTTCAATTTTTTTAGGTTTTCGTAGCCAATTCTTTCGTTCCCATTCGTGCTGCATAAGAAAAGAATGAGATTCCATTGCTTGGGAGATATTTGTATCATTGAAGTGCAAAAAACCTTTTTTTTAGAGATCGATATTAATAAAATTTCCCGAAAATGTGCTCTTTCGATGATGTGCTATAAGTTACTACAAAATTTTTTGCTAGCAGGTTGGGTCAGTTGGGAAATAATTTTTGTAATAATCGGTTTTTAATATCGAGCAATTTCGTAGATACTAAATCAGAATTGCTGATAGGAAAATTCGACGTCTGAATCTCATGTTTTGCTTCTCATAATTAACAGGATTATTGGAGGATTGTTGGATAATTAACAGGATTCAAGAGTGAATGCTTCTCAGTATTTCACAACCATAATTTTATTCTGGTCATAAGCTGATCCAGGATGGGCTCCTTAGGGAGGCAAGGGGGATGGGGGGGAGGAGGGGGAGAAACGAATGTCTTCTGTCTGCGACGAGCGGGGAGGAGGATGGAGGGAAGTGATTTTACTAACGCGGCGATGATTGGCGGCGGAGGGGGAATGCCGCTTCTGGGAGCATAGTTTCATAACCATAGTTTTACTTGGATCAGCTATAATCTTAAGTTTAAATCTGAAACTATTGAGACTTTTTAAGTTGCTTAAACTAATGCTGTATTGTTTGGTGGTAGTCAGCCTGTTGGCGATTCTGACGTTCATTTTGCTCCTTTTGGCTGATCCCCCATGTTCCCCCAACTGAAAGCTTAGCCGTTTCGAAATTTCCTTGATGTGTATGTTGAGCATCACCGTTTGGTCTAGAACGTTGCCGTGTTGAGACTTCCTGGCCACTACGATTATGAATCACTTATTTCCTGTTGATTTTTATAGCTCTTTCTGCGAAAGGATTACGAATATTTGCACGTGATGTTATCCCAAATACATTCCTTATCAAAATTACAAATCATGATGGCTTACGGCGCTTTGTTGATCAGTGGAAGACGTTCAGCAGAGTTCGTTTTTACCTTTTTTTTAGTTACTCCTTTTTTTTATTTCAATTTCAGCACTTTTTATGCGTTTTGTGCTGTGTTACGGGGTTGTCTGTGTGTGTTTTTGTGTGTGTGTCCGCAGCAACTTGTCCGCAACTTTCAACTCGGGAACCACAAAA